GTCTAGAAGAGTTTTTCCTATGTTTTCTTCTAAAATTTTATGGTTTCATGCCTTAAATTTAAATCTTTTATCCATTGTGAATTAATTTTTGTACATGCTAAGAGATAGGATCCTATTTCATTTTTCTGGATGTGGCGATCTTGTTTTCCTACCACCATTTATTGAATAAGGCTTCCTTTCTACAGTGTATGTTGTCATCTACCTTGTCAAAGATCAATTGATTGTAGGTAAATGGTTTTATTTCTGAGTTCTGTTCCATTGGCCTATATCTCTACTTTTATACTAGTACCATGCTGCTTCTAATTATACAGCCTCTCAGTATAATTAGAAGGTGGAGTCGGGTTTGGGGGCTTACAACTGTAATCCCAGGATTTGGGAGGCCAAGGCAGGTAGATTGCCTGAGTTCACAGGTTTGAGACCAGCCTGAGCAAGAGCGAGATCTTGCCTCTAAAAAAGTAGCTGGGCATTGGCTTGGTGCCTGTGGCACACTGGTTATGGTGCCAGCTACATACACTGAGAGTGGTGGGTTGAAACCTGACCCAGGCCAACTAAACAACAATGACAACTGCAACAAAAAATAGCTGGGGGTTGTGGTGGGCACCTGTAGTCTCAAGAGAATTGCTTCAGTCCAAGAGTTTGAGGTTGCTGTGATGCCATGGCACTCTATTGAGGGTGACATAGTGAGACTCTGTCTCCAAAAAAAAAACTGGGCATTGGTGGCAGGTGCCTGTAGTCCCAGCTACTTGAGAGGCTGAGGCAAGAGAATCACTTAAGCCCAAGAGTTTGAGGTTGCTATGAGCTGTGACATCACAGCACTCTACCAAAGGCGACAAAGTCAGATTCTGTCTCCAAAAAAAAAAAAAAAAAAGTGTGGAATGTAATACCTTCAGATTTATTCTTTTTGCTTAAGATTGTAAAAGCTTCTCCTTAAGAATTGGTCATGGCCATGTTCCTTTTTTATGCATACCATAAGTATTCAAAAAAAATTTAAATGACTAGATTTTTCTATACAGCTGTTATGTGGATTCTTCATTGATTATGTTATTAAAATGTAGTCTGTTAGTTGTGAAATAAGCTTAATAAGCCTTATTTATGGGACATAGAGTATGAGGGTACATTCTAATGATGGTTTATGTCATTCATGATTATTAAATTTTCATTAACAAACATCTCAAGACTGGACATGGTGGCTTATGCCTGTAATCCTAGCATTCTGGCAGGCCAAAGAGGGAGGATCCATCCCTTGAGCTCAGGAGTTCAGGACTACCCTGAGTGAGAGACCTCCATCTCAACTAAAAATAGAAAAAAAATTAGCTGTGCATTGTGGTGGGCACGTGTAGTCTGAGCTACTCAGGAGGCTGAGGCAGGAGGAACACTTGAACCTAGAAGTTTGAGTTTGTTGTGAGCTAGGCTGATGCCACAGCACTCAAGACTGTCTTAAAAAAGAAGAAGAAGAAAGAAAGAAATGCCTGAGTTTGAAGATTCAGAACCACATGCATTCAAACACTGCAGAGGGCTTGGCTTCATAGTCATTTCAGGAGAGTTCTGGGGTTCAGGGGTAGTTCCTGCCTCTAAAATTTGGAAATACTACATATTTTTAATGGGCATGGTCCATGTTCAGTCTAATATTCCTCTTCAAATTGAGTTGCACTGACAGAGCAGATGCTGACAATACAGATACTTCTTTAGGTTTATAATGTAAAAGAGTGCAAAGAAAATTTAAATTTGTTTGCCCTCATTAAAATCCATGAATCTCTTCTGACATTGTGACATTGTCCACCAACCAAAACAGTAGTTATTCCAAATGAATGTTTCAAGTGAGGTCCGAGAAGTTTAGCATTGAGGAATAAGTGGCAGCCTGGCTGAGTGAAAGTTCAATTTGTGTCTGAATAGCTGTTCCTCTGTGTACAAACCAGTAATGTTCCTGCATCTCCCCTGTAGCCTCCCCTGAATCTGGTATGCTCAGATACCTTGTTACATTTGTAAGAAAAATACAACTTAGAAAACCAATTAGGGCTTTTCTGAGCCTTTAAATTATACAAAGTCCTTGATATGAAGAAGGTCGGTAAATCTACTCAGCAATGACCTAACCATTGACTACATGAAGTCAGCAAAATGTCTACACACTGCCACATCTTCTTCCGAATACTCCACAAGTTCTAGTAAAGAGTATGACTTCTGGCTCGGCGCCTATAGCTCAACCGGCTAAGGCGCCAGCCACGTACACCTAAGGTGGCGGGTTTGAATCCCGAGCCCGGTACCCGCCAAACAACAATAACGGCTGCAACCAAAAAATAGCTGGGCATTGTGGCGGGCGCCTGTGGTCCCAGCTACTTGGGAGGCAGAGGCAGGAGACTCGCTTGAGCCCAGGAGTTGGAGGTTGCTGTGAGCTGTAATGCCACGGCACTCTACCCAGGGGGACAGCTTGAGGCTCTGTCTCCAAAAAAAAAAAAAGAGTATGACTTCTGTGGGAAATTCACAATTACATATGAAACAATGATAATGAACAACAGATATTTAAATAGCCAATGATTAGAGGTCAAGTTCTGATTTAAATAACATGTAATAACAATAATAATCATAATAAGGATAGTGAAGAAGATCATGATACTAGAATGCTTTAAGCTATCCACAGAATATGTGTTGAATGAATTTGAAGGGTTTTTAATGGTCAAGGAAAGTAATAGTTATTTGAAATAAATATAATCTGAAATGACCTCAAATTACTTAAGATAAATTACACTAAAGCGGTGTTTCTCAACCTTCCTAATGCCGCGATGTATTGTCATTGTTACAAAGGGGTTGTAACCCACAGGTTGAGAACCGCTGCATTAAAGAGAACACCCAATTCCTTGTCTTCTTGAACATATTTCTAAACTGTATTTCCCAGCTCTCTTGCATCCAGGTAGGCATGTGGCTAGTACTTGCTAAGAAAGAATGTGGACAAAGTGATACAGCCCATTTCCAACCTCAACCCTGGCAAGATTCTCATATTCTTCTTTTATATGTTGGCTAGGTGCAAAGGATGCTAAGACCCTGGGAGACAGCAGAGCCACACAGTGGAAGAGGCCTGGGTCCCTGAATGACTGTGTGGTTAAGATCTCGGAGTGTGAGGTGAGCAAGAAATAAACTTTCATTCTGTTAAGCCACTTAAATCTTAGGATCACATGTTACAACAGTTCGTTGGCCCTGATTAATATGTACACTGAATAAAAAAGCCAAACTTCTTACAAAAATCCAATGATTAATCTGATTTGGCCAAATTTAGGGAAAGAGGTAACTGTTAAATACCTATGACTACATTTAGCATGAAGCCACAATATCACACAAGAAACACTTTTAGCTTAGCTTTTCCCAAGCTGGTCCTTATCAAAAACAGAACATTACAGGATTGTGAATAAAAGTTCTATGTCCATATTAGTTTGAGAGATGCTGTTAAACACTTTTCTTTGTTTTAGATCATCTCAGAGCTAATGTTCATTGTGCGTCTGTTTAAAGAAACTAAAGAATGTAGCATTTCCAAATTTATTTAGTTAAATAATTTAAATAACAAATTTAAGATCTACTTCTCCTTCTTATCATGGTAACACCCATCACTACCTTCCAGAGCAATATTCTGTAAAATATATTTTGGGAAATTTTGTTTTAGTTTCATTTACATCATGTGGTGAATTACTCAGTACCAAACAGTTCTAGGTACCCCAAAGCAAATATTGGTCTCTTATTAAGGGAAGGATTTTCTTGCAAAAACATAAATATATACTAATACCAGAAGAACCACCCAAGAGTTTTCACTGCTGAAGTGAACCAAATTCTCTAAGAAAAAAACATATTTTAGGTGGCACCAGTAGCTCAGTCAGTAGGCTGCTAGCCACATACACTGAGGCTGGCGGGTTCGAACCCGGCCCAGGCCAGCTAAACAACAATGACAACTGCAACCAAAACAAAACAGCCAGGTGTTGTGGCAGTAGTCCCAGCCACTTGGGAAGCTGAGACAAGATAATCGCTTAAGCCCAAGAATTTGAGGTTGCTGTGAGCTGTGATGCCATAGCACTCTACCCAGGGTGACAGCTTGACAGTCTGTCTCAAAAAACAAACAAAAAACCCACCATATTTTAGGCTCTGTGCTTGTAGCACAGTGGTTACAGCACCAGCCACATGCACTGAGGGTGGCGGGTTCGAGCCTGGCCCAGGCCAGCTAAACAACAATGACAACTGCAACAAGAAAATAGCTGGGCCTTGTGGTGGGTGCCTGGAAAGAGAATCACTTAAGCCTAAGAGTTTAAAGTTGCTGTGAGCTGTGACATCATAGTACTCTACCGAGGGTGGCATAGTGAGACTCTGTCTCAGAAAAAAATGTATTTTATTTAAAATGTGACTGAAATGAAGGCAGATGTGAACAACTAGCTTCTGTTTTTTTCTTTGTAACCCAATCTGCTGTCAGTGGAGCCTATCATATCTAATGGTGGAATAGATACTTATGTTTTAAGGCAATGTGTCTACAAAACCAAGCAATGTTAAATGTGAAGTATGTGTGGGAATACAGCCCATTCCAAGTATATTTGCTTTTCTCTCTCCTATGCTCATACTTAAGGCATGTTTTTAAACAATGTAGTAATCAAAAGTAATCACAACTAACCTCAATGGAAACTATATTTCCTCAACAGAAACTTTATTTCTTCCAATAGAAATAAAGATACTGCAGTAAACTATTTTAAAAAAAGTCACATACCACTTACATGCATTATATATTTACAATTTATAAATATAAATATACTTGCATTTTTTTCCACTGTGGCTTGCTATGGTATATTGCATTTGTACCCTATGTATACACTTTATTTCAATCATGAATCTATGATGGCTAACTTTCTACATTTCTCAAAGATTTAAGGCAATTGAAAAAGGACTCTTATGATGGATATCTGGGAATTCATGTAAAGTAAAAAGATATGCTAATTATTTAATTAAAAACAAAGAGTAACAAAAGATAGACTTACATCTAGTAGTGTGTGGAGATGCTGATCCTGGAAAACACTGTGTAGAAAATCTAGGTCCTTCTCACTGCAGTCTGTAAGTGCGTGAATCTCTTCCAGGCTGTCCAGCACTTGAGAGACTGCTCCTAAGGGGGACAAACAGAAAAGAAACAGCCCAGTATAGAAAGTCAATGTCAAACGAAACTTTGTAACCTAAACCTTACACTTAAGAACAATGAACATGAAAACTTCCAAGGCTAGTGTCTTTACTGAAAGACAGATTTAAATTAGTTTCATATCATTTAAGGACAGTATTTTCAGTGTTAACATAACATTGTTATGTTCTTAACAATGTATTCATGTGCTCTTCATTTTTTCCAAGTAAACTGAAGCTTACCTTATTTGTATTAAGGAAATTCATCAATTATAAATAAACTACTAGAAGATCTTGGTGCAGTAAATTTTATGTCAGAAAGAGAATATGGGTTTCATGACTCCAAGATGTTTTGAAATATTATAGAAACAAGTTTGGCCTTTTACCCAGGTATATTCCATCAAGAACTGACAGTAAAGCCAGCTGTAGATATGAGGAACAAACCTTCAACTGGGAGCTCTTGCTGCTTAAAACAGGCTTCTGAGGATTATTTATTTATTTATTTTGAGACAGGGTCTCAAACTGTCTCCTGGGGTAGAGTGCCATGGCGTCATAGCTCATGGCAGCTTCCAACTTTGGCTCAAGTGATCCTCTTGCCTCAGTTTTTCTATTTTTAGTAGAGACGGGGGTCTTGCTTTTGCTCAGGCTGGTCTTGAACTCATGAGCTCAATCAATCCACCCGCCTTGGCCTCTGAGAATGCGAGGATTACAGGTGTGAGGCACTGTGCCTGGATGCTTCTGAGGATTTTTAAGGCACAAACATCAGTTAACAAAAATTCCACTTTGTTCCTTTTTTCCCCCTTTATATAAAAAGTCAAGAGAATCAAAGTCATCTTGTTAGGCACCACCCCCCCTTTTCTGAGACAGGTACACATGTTTGGTTAATTTTTCTATTCTTAGTAGAGACAGGATGTCGCTTAGCTCAGGCTGGTCTTCAAAGTCATTTTGTTAGGCACCCCCGCCACCTTTTCTGAGACAGGTACATCCATGCCTGGCTAATTTTTTTATTCTTAGTAGAGACAGGGTATGCTTAGCTCAGGCTGGTCTTCAATTCCTGACCTCCTCCTAGAGTGCTAGGGTTATAAATGGTAAGCCATCACATTGTTAGGACTTTCTCATTTAAAAGACAAAGGGTAGGTATACTGACTGATACTTCCAAATACCTTATTAAATTTCAAGGCAAATCATTTTGATAGGGCAAATCAAATAAATTTCAATTTAGTAATTGCATTTACAAAAGCCTCCCTTAAGGAAAAAATAGAAGATTTATGTATAAAGATATTTGGCATACAAAATAGAAAATAAATCTCATAATTAGGACATCTATACAATGGAATATGTGCCCAAATGAAAACTGTTTTTGAAGAATGTTAAAGACATAGGGAAATCTTCATGATATAGAATTCAAGAAAGTGGAATGGAAAACTGTGTAAACTGTGTATTTCCAACTATGATAAAAAACAAACAAACAAAACATACACAAACTCAGGAAAAAAATAGAAGCAAAAAAGCAAAAAAGAATGAAATACACCAAGAGCATTATAGTGGTTATCTTCACTGTCCAATTTATATTTCATTCTGTTCTTGTCCTCATGTTCCAAATTTTTCTACAATAGCAAAAAATAAAAAATTGCTATATAAGCTGATGATTTTTGCAGCACTATTTAGTTAAGTTAAAGTTTTGGGTATTAAGGCACATATTGTGTGGCTATCCATGTGGAAATTACTGTGGCTATTTTTTAAAATTTGACTTTTACCTAGTTTCCTCTAATAGTCAAGTAACATCTTGCAAAACTGTAGTACAATATCACATTCTGGGTGTTGACATTGATAGAGTCAAGCTATAGAACATTCTATTACCACAAGGATCCCTCATGTTGCCTTTTTATAGCCACATTCATTTACCTCCCAACCTATCTCCTCCTAATACTTGGCAACTACTAGTCTGTTCTACATTTCTATAATTTTTTTCTTTTTAAGTATGGAAATAATAGTTTGTAACCTTTTGGGATTCGCTTTTTCTACCCAGCTTAATTCTCTGGTGATTTATCCAGATTGTTGCATGTATGAATAGTTTGTTCCTTTTTATTACTGGTAGGATTCCATGGTATGGGTGTACCACAGTTTGACCATTCATCTGTTGAAGGAACTATGGATAATTATTAATTTTGAATAATTATGGTTCCCAGGTTAGTGGTATTCTTTCACTGAAAACATTAAGTAGATATTAAGTAGGATAAAATAAATACAAGGCAGAAATCAGTCCTCATCTCCCTTGCTATTCTTGAAGATGTTATTATGTAATCCATTTCCTTCTACCTGCTCTTCTCAGGATTTTTGATTTCTTCAGAGCAGATAAAAAAAAAATCTAGAAATAAGTTCAAAAGCTAACTCTCAGCTTGGCGCCTGTGGCTCAAGTAGCTAAGGTGCCAGCCACATACACCCAAGGTGGCAGGTTTGAATCCAGCCCGGGCCCGCCAAACAACCATGACGGCTGCAACAAAAAAATAGCCAGGCATTGTGGCAGGCGCCTGTGGTCCCAGCTACTCGGGAGGCTGAGGCAGGAGACTCGCTTGAGCCCAGGAGTTGGAGGTTGCTGTGAGCACTCTACCTAGGGGGACAGCTTAAGGCTCCTGTCTCAAAAAAAAAAAAAAAAAAGCTAACTCTCTCTTCATGCCTTATTAAAACCTTAGAAAGCAAAGACAGTGTGAAGACATTAGTCTCAAATGTCCCATTAAAACCCTGATCCTAACATGTCAACAAAAGTAGAATTAAATAAGGCCAGGCTTATCAAATTACTAAAGCCAGTTCTAAACTTCTGAACTTATGAAACTACAATCATAAAAATACTAATGAACCGCCTTTTAGTATTAATAAAGTCTACTAGTATCACAGAAACCTAATTATCATCTTCATTCAGTTGTCTTAGTGAAATCTTATTTTTTATTGTCCTTATCCCCCATTACTTATGCTGATGTATAATTTATGCAGCAGTTTATTGATAATATAAGATTAAAACAACTTTGTATCAAGCAAATACTAAGATGGTCAGTATAATGACTAGGACGCAATTTTGTCCAGACCAGACCAGGGACGCATCACTTGTCAGTCTGTGAGCTCCCTAAGTGCTTCATGCCATTGCTGTACCACCAGCACACTGCATGGGTTACTTGTGCGTGTATTTGTTTACCTTTTTCTCTGAGCTGTGACGTCCTCATGGTGGGTATATATTTTATTCATTTTATAACATGTATAAAGTATGTACTGAATTAGTTACTTAAGGAAGCATAATAATAGCAGCAGCTCCCAATTCTTGAGTGTTCTAGGCAGATATTAATTATCCCACTTTTCTAGATAGGGAATGGTGGTTCACAGGGGTCAAGGAAGGTCATGGCTAGTAAGTGGTGGACACAAGACTCCAACCTGGTTTTGGCTCCAAAGTCTGTGCTCTGTCTACCTTACTATACTAATTGGCTGTGCTAGAAAACATACAGGGAAACTTCATCAAGAAGTTGCGTGGTTTATGCATGAATATGGAGGTAGGAAAGGAACTTGAGCAATGCCCTATTGGGTCAGGCAATAATAAAACCCTTATTAAGTGTTTCTGCTTTTGGCTGAGGAAGGGGCTCTCAGGCTGATGTGTGAAGTAAGTATACTATATACTGAGGTAAATGATAAAGACATAAAAACAAAGTGGCATACTGGCTGCCCAGGAAGGAGTTGGAGCAGCCTCAAAGAGAAGCAGGAATTCACTGTTTCCACATTGGATCAACTCTGTTGACAGGCCCAGTAGATGCTTTGCTGGAAAGCACAAAGGAATCCATTAGTGGGCAATGCCAGAAGGCAAGACCCACAATCTCAACAGGTTTATTAAACCTCCTTGGATCTGTCACCTTCTGAACTGATTTATAGCCTTATCTTCTACTCAAATGTGATTAATTTGGTGGGTCCTTAATTAGGAAAAAAGTATTTCTCTAGCTGTATTCAAGCTGCCTATTTTGAAGTTTTGCAAAGTGCCCTTAATTTTAAGTTTCTGTAATTAGGTAGGAAAATTATAGTTCTCATTACACTTCTCCTTCATCTTTTTCACATTGAATAAACACGTATTTTTGGTCTAACCTCAAAAAACCTTGATCATTTTAACACCTCTTTTAACACCTGCTTTTTTTTTTTTGAGACAGAGTTTCACTATGTCACCTTCGGTAGAGTGCTGTAGCATCACAGCTCACAGCAACCTCAGACTCTTGGGCTTAAGAGATTCTCTTGCCTCAGCCTCCCAAGTAGCTGGGACTACAGGCACCAGCTACAATGTCTGGCTATTTTTTTCACTGCAGTTGTCATTGTTGTTTAGCAGGCCTGGTCAGGCTTGAACCTGTCAACCTTGGTTAACACCTATTTTAGTTTCATTATTTCTTTCTTTGAGTATAACCAACAGAACCACGAGACACATCCTTGGTCAGATGGATATGTATATTTGACATCTACAAGTTCAGTATCAAGCCCATCTAAAAGTCTTATATATTTTCAATTTACTAAAAAATATAAATGAGCATAAATACATTTCTGGGGCTTTTCCATTGTTATTTATTTCAGATTGTAAACACTGAGGCAGTAGTGATAATTAACATAATGCAACATACACACACAGTAATTAAGCTGTTACTAGTATTCATTTTGTAGACCGATACTGTCATAAATAAAATAACTATTTACTTTTCTCAAAGTAAAAAGGATGTTTTTCCTATAAAACCTCTCAATAAACTTGTAACTATCTTGAAAAAACACAATCACTAAACAATACATGAGTTCATCTCAGAGGGTAGTTTACTTAATGGCAGGACATATAGGCATCCTATTCACCTTTATATTCTAGGCTATGCTTTGCAGAGTGTTTTTTACAAAAAAGCATTTGAGTCAGGTGTGGTAGCTCACACCTATAATGCTAGCACTCTGGGAGGCCAAGGTGGGTGGATTGCTTACGCTCACAAGTTT